AAATCATGTTATCATCATAAAGATCATCCAAATCTTTGAGATTTTCTTCTAACATATGATTGTGAGTATCATACTTTAGAAGGGAATAATCAATAAAAGCTTCATCAAATAATGCCTTGCTTGACACATTAGATGGAGAAGACATTGGTTCAATAATAGATTTCCCTTTTAAGTGAGTTGGTGTGGGAATAGTCTTATGGAGACTAATAAGAGAATTTTGAATAAAACTCCCAGGATATTTGATAAAAGAGTCCTTCCCAACCCACTTCAAACTAGTAAATGGGGTAAGAGTGGGAACAATCACAAGTGACTTATGAGAAGTTTTTTTTTTTTTTTTTGGCTCCCACCTGCACTTTGTAAGGGTTCATAGAGGAGAAGTTTTTTTTTTCTTTTAATGTTTTTAACATTAATAAGTTGCTTAAAATGTGTAGATGAAAAGTACTACTACCTAAGATTATTTCATTTCTTATTAACATCAATTGTATAAATTTATATTTGAAGTCTGTAAGCACAACTTGTTGTTTTGATGAGTCCAAACATTATTGGTTAGATCACGTATTATTCTATGCAATTTATGTTAGTTATTTTTGTGCTACTAATATTTCAGGTTCAACATACAAGGAGGCAAGTCAAAGAAGAACTCAAGAATTATAGCATTAAGACCAATAAAAACTTATAATAAGAGTATGCATTTTCTTTTTCTTGAGTCTTTATGTATTGAGGTGCATGTTGGCAAGATCACCGAGCATAACACTCGGTTTCTTTGTTGACTCGTAATATACGATCACAATCATACTGTATGATCCCAATCATACTAATGATTTTGATCATACAATATGATCAGTTATTTCAAAAAAATAAATAAAGTGTTTAATTAAATTAATCAAATAAAAATATAGCATAACTATACTGACCTTTGATCGTACATGATGATCTATTAGTTTGATAAATACCCACTCTTGAATCTAAGTTTCCAAATTTAGGAAAATTTAAATTTTAAAATGTGGTCTAATCGTGTTGTACGAACACATTTGTTTTGCATGATTATTAATTGATGTTGCCTAATTTAGACCGTTGATCAAGCAATCAAATCAGGATCAAATAATGATTGAAATTCATAATGTATGAACTAAATGATCTAGTATGATTTAACATAACATTCAATGGATGAACTATGATTCATTTAGGATGACCCTTGGTCTTATTCAATCGATCATATTGTATGATTTATATCAAAGAGTGTGATTTAATAAAACTTAAAAATGGGTGTTCAACTAATCATACAATATGATACATACTTCTTACTATATGATTAGTGCATTAAAAATAAAAAAAGTAGGGTTTCATTTAAATAACCCAGTTTGATTCTTTTTATAATAAGTGTGTGTAAAGCGAGTAATCAGAATTATTTTCTCCTAAGAGAGAGTCCTTTAGAGAGCGAGAGAGATTTCTCCTTGCTTAAGAGAGTTTGTCCATCCACTTGAGAGAGAGAAGATGAGGTTGAGAAGTTGTATCTTAAGAAGTCAAGGGTTCTGTGAGGGAGTTCACATTGTTGTTCTTGTCATCTTGCACCTTAATCCTCCAAGTTGTAATTTTGGAGCCCTTGGAGAGGAGCTTTAGGGAAGATGTCATTGGGTGAAAGACTTGTGACTAGCTGAGGAGGCTAGGGGAGCGGCATCTTTATCATTGTGAGGAGAAGAAGTAGGGAGCAGCATCTTTGTCATTACGAGTAGAATGAGGGAGTGGCATCTCCACCATTGGGAGAACCAGAAAGAGGGCATTTAGGCTTTTCGAAAGGAAGAGCTTATAAAGATCATTCTCCACTTGGGAATGGAGAAGAGCTTCTCCGCTTTGATGAGGGCAAAATGAGCATTTGCTAGTGAAATTTTTAAAGAGGAGGATCTTTGCAGAGTAGATGTAGGTAAACCACTATAAAATCTCAGTTTGCATTTTATTTTACTTTTCTGCACTTTATTTCTTACAAATTCTATTATCTAAGGATTTGTGGTTTTAAACTATTGTGATTGAATTCAAGAAATATTTTCAAAATAAAGTTTTCATAAATTTTCTATTAATTAAAATATTTATTTTGAATTACTTTCAAATTAATCTTAAGTAAATTTATTGCTTAAAAAAAAAAAAAATATTTTTACCACTTCTCTCTTTAAAGTTATATTTTTATTTTGAAAATCACTTTTCATTGCATATTATAACATTCCTTTTCAACCCCCCACCCACCCCCACCCCTTTGCCACGACACTTTCAAAGTACACCACTCCTAGCTAAGTAAACAGTCACAACATAAATTATAAAAGGTACAAGTAATATATTTACATATTCAATAGCATGAATAGCACTCTAAGGTACATATATAACAAAAGTTAATTATTTGGTGGACCCTATGTATGTACAAATCTTATGCCATATTACTGGTATAGGGTAATAAGTGAAATCCTATAGGACTTGGCAACAAGTGGAAGAAACTAATAAAATCAAATGTTGGCCAACTATTGACTCTTTACTGGGAATGGTTGAGATCACTTACTGAATCTTTCTCACAAGAGCATGTTAAGTCTTCTCAATAATGTGAATAACATGATGTGTGAAGTACATAACATCCCTAGCTAGTGAAGGACAACTCCATATTATCTCAGTTGGCTTTTATAGCCATAAAATTTATCAAAATATTAAACTTGTTTGGGGTAATAGAAATATCAGAAATAAGAGACATAGACAACTTATATTGATGTTATTAATTAATATTATGCATGTAGTTGTTTGTTTCTGGTATGTCTGGTTCTCTAGTGAATTTATGGCTCTCATACTATCTAGAAACATGTACAAAATGAGTGTCTAACTGATGAAGTGTGCCCATGATGTGGTAAGAGAATCTTCAAAATGGGTTTAAAAGGGACCACCTACAAATCTCTATAACATAATCAAATAAACATGAAAACACAAATGGGAGACCATATAATTTAATAAAGATGGAAGAACTAATACGCTGAAGAACATTGGGTCTCGCCTCTCAATGATAGAGGTTATTATCACTAACAGGAATTGTAGTACTAACTAAAATTGGAGTAGGTTTATGAGCACCACTAAATGCTCTACTCCCCTTCCTTTGGAGAGGGGACAAAGCAAGCTTTGTAGGTGTAGGATCACTTACAGTAACCCTTTTATGATGGTATCGGTCCCAAAAATTATATGTATATATCTCAACATGGATAGTAACCTAAGGCTAAGTTTTACCCAAGAAAAAGATTTGATTGTAACATTCTTGTATGTTATATACAAACAAAAACATCACCAATCATTGGTTGTAGAAAGAAAAAAAAAATCATATTTAAAAGAGTAACACTCAAATGTGTAAAAAAATGAAGCATCAATTTACCCACATGTGGCTATGAGAATTGAAATGCCTTGGAGAGAAGGATTGGAAGATAAGAAGTACTTATCTCAACCCATATAAAACACTTAAGATAAATCATATTATCTAAATCAAGAAGAGAATTTGGGTTGATCATTCTCCTAAAAGGTATCTGCTCCTTCAGAACACCTCCAAGAGAAACAATTGATATTTGAAATACTCTTGTATCGTGATTTGTTTGGGTTAACATCAAGGATAGACAATAATTCAAAGCCTATTATCTTACTAGGAAATTTATGCTTTGAATGAGTTAGTCTACAAGAGAGACTAAATCACTATAACAAAGTGAGATGGCTATTTCTTTGCATAAAAAAACTTGAGGAATGAAAATCTTTGAATCATCAAGAAGTCAAAAGAAATATAAAAGGGCTCAAGGGGTAGACAAGTTCTAAGTTACGGATAAGGCAAAAATAATCTATTTAAAACTTCATGAGTTCATCATCTCATGTTATCAATTTTAAAATCACTTAGTTGTAAAGGTAGTCGACTCAACCTAGTCATAAGACACTATCAACAACTATGAATTACATCATCTTGGCCTCAAAATCTCAAATTGCAAAAAAAAAAAAAAGCATGGTTTTTAGATAGTTGAATTCTAAGAGGTAGATTGAAATGACACGGGACTTATAATCCTCAGTGGTATGAAGAAGACCAACAAAATACAGGGAAATGAGATAAAGTCCAATCATACACAAATAAACCTACTATGTCAAATTTACACTTCTATCTTCTAGAGTTGTGGTCCACATAAGTACAATACAAACTCCTAAATCAATAGAAAAATAAGATTGACAATAGAATAAAAAGTTAGGGGATCCTTCTGCTCTTAGTGCTTGCCACTTCAGTTAAGTTGAGTATGCTTTGTTCTGGCTTTTCTTGGGTAATACTAGATCATCTTGAGTACTTCCAATCCTGTTTAATTCTTAGTTCTCCTGTATCTATATCATTTGGAGCTGAAAGGAACCTCTGCTTGTACCTAATTGCATGCATTATGCTTTTCTAGACTAAAATAGAGTAGTTTTTTTTTCTTCTTTTTTTTCTTTTTTTTACAAAATAGGAAGTGTTAGAAAAGCAAAAAAACTAAGCAACATATATAAATTTAATAGTGTTAAAATAAATATAAAACTTCTATAAATTTAATAAAGACAGAATAAAATATTTTTAAAAGCTTTAGCCTTATATATGATCCAAATTAATTCTAATTAAGAAAATAAATTAAGAAAATATAACCTATTTTATTTATATTCAAACATTTATATGATATATGATTATAATAAAATGCCATCATCAAAAAAATTATCATCTGATAATAATAATCAATCTATCATGACCATAAATCCTCTCTAGGGTTACAATTTAAAAAATAAAAGATTCAACTGGTTAAGGATAAATTATTAGGTCCAGTCACCAGACCTATTTTTAGGTCCAGATTAGGTCCAAACATCCACTAAAAATTTGTCATATGAACTACGCTTTGCCTGCACTTTGACTACGCTTTGACTGCACTTTGAAGAATAGATGCATTAGATTTTGCATATATTATGAAAGGTAGAGGAAGATCTAAAAAGAATTGATTAGAAAATATTACAAATAGTCTTTTTTATTAGATTTACATGAGAATTTGACTCCTAACAGAACACAATGGAGAAATAGGATTCATATAGCCGAACCAATGTAATGAGATAAATGTCCTCAAAGAACTTGAAAATAAAATTAACTTCATCTGAGCAGAAAGAAGCTCAAATTAAGAGCTCATCAGCAATTATTGATTGATCATTCAGACAAAAAGAACACATACTATGTTCATATAATCAGTTCCATATCCATTCTCACTGCCATGATTTTAAAAAAGCATCACTTCTGCTCACTGAAACGAAGAATGCCATAGACATCAACAATGCCTGGAGGGAAAACCTGGTCTGTTGCAGCCCTTACGGCAACTTTTGCTACAGCTGTTGCACTTACTGGTGGAGTGAGGAGAGGACCAAAAACTGGAACCTTATTTAGTGGCTTAGCATGTTGGAGGATCTGCAGCAAGTCAAATATAATTACATTGCATTCTAAACATATAAGAAATTTGAAATAATATTTCAAATAAGAGCAAAAAATAACAATTTAGGCTTTCGTTTGGGATAGCTTTCTTACTGCTGCTTAAAAAGGTTTTCTAGAAGAGGCTTTCTAGAAAGCCGTCACAAATGAAGCCTAAATTGGAATTATCTAAGGGTTCGTTTGGGACGGTTTTCTTACTGCTTCTCAAAGCAGCTTTCTAGTACAAATGAGAGATTATTCTATGCGGACACCGGACCGGATAACCGTCAAATACCCGCTTGGTACCGAGCGTCAGTACAGCACTCGGTACATTTATGGGGTGACGTGGTGTTTTTTTTTTTTTTGTCTCTGGATGATGTCCGGACTCCGCACAGAATAAAAATTCCCCAAACGATGCCTAAGTTTCAATGTCCAAATGTGGTTGGAGGCCTTAACCATCATAACATAGAGCATGTGATCAGAAAATTATGTTGATTCAATTAGATAAATATATAACATATGAAAATAATTTCTTGACATTCAAAAGATACATGAAAAGGAAGGTTTTTCATACAATACAAGTAATGCATAAAATACCAACTATAAATTTGAAGTTTAAAATATGCTTATTTATACATAACTTGATATAAATTCAAGTGAATAGAAGTATTTTAAATAGTCAATATGCATGTATATTATACAAGTATGATACATGAATATGCTAAAGGTTGTACCATTTCAAGTGGGGAGCCAATAACGCCTAAGGGTATCTTCATGCCCCCAACTTGGCGAGTCCCATATATGAATCCAGGTCTGAGAATCACACCTGCAAAAAAGAGTTTTATAAGGGATACTGCAGTGGTCTGGTTAACCAATCATTTCAATGAAAATGTAAATACTGAGCTGATGTCAAATGATCAGATAAGAAATATTTGGTATTAACAAAATATTGTTCAAGAGTATGCTAGTTATATAGGAATCAATTTTACGAGATACAATAAAATAATGGGAGAGAAACATACTAGTTACATTAGTTATGAAAACTCAGTTGGTTTTATGCCATAAAGATTTATTAAGAAAAATGATCTTTATGTAATTTATTGGGAAGGTATATGGTTGAGTACCATGAGAATTGAATCTTTATGCATAAAAAACGAGAAATGTGTGTCAAAGGTATATTTAAATTATTAAAAAATTGTATAATAGAATATTGTATAGTATCAAAAATAGTTGCGGAGGCGCAAACTTTTTTTTTTAATTTTAATAAAATTATATCAATAGATCAACATGGAGTCCATATCATTTTTAAATTGATTATGAAAGTGCTAACAAAAAATATTCAGTGCTGTGCCTTGGTATTTGAATTTCATAAAAGATAAATCTAACTAGTGAGAAATTTATTGAAATAAATGAGAAATTAGAATAATAATAATAATATTTTAAAAATAAATAGCCTAGAAGTAGTACAATAAAAACTAGGCAAATGATATGTAACTTTAATGGGTGTGATATTAACAAATAATTAGTATTATTAGAAGATAAACTGATATATATGTATGATAAATTTAAGCAACTTGAATCTATTATACAAAAGAATGGATATATATATATATATATAAGATTGAATGGTAAGAAAAGAGAAGCTCCTCGGGAGAAGAGGATATCATGAAAACTTTAATTTCATTTGGGATAGCTTTCTTACTACTTTCTAAAATAGCTTTTAATTACAAAAATTTCTTGAAGTAGAAATTATTACACTAAAAAGCTGCTTTAAAAGCAGCACAAAAACTATCCCAAATAAAGCCTTAATGATAAAAAAATCATCGATATCTTAGTTGTGTTTTGCAAAAATGAGAATTTATAGATAATTAAGTGACAAAACTAGAAACAATATCAAGAAATGACTATATTAGAGAAATAGTTGAAATGACATCTATTAATGTAGTAGTTGAAAATAAACTTGATTTGGGTAAGTACAACAAATGGTGGAAAATCCACCCATTAGATGCGTAAATAAAATTAATGTATGAGGATTAGGATAGAATAAGCCAATATCTCAATCAACAAAATTGAGGATTGTACTTCATTACAACATTACATTAGTTATTCAACAACCAACTTGACAGACCATTGTAATTTAAGTTCAACTATCTTGCCTCACAAGTCTTTTTTCTCTAGTTTACTTCGCAAATCTTGCATGCCAACCCATCCCCACCACCTTTTCCCACATGTACATTTTTTTGTTCCACATGGTAACAATATAAAACCAATAATTCCTAATAATAATTATGTCTACTACAAAACCTAACAACAGTCCCTCTACCCTCTGCCTCAATCCTGAGCATCCATCTCCAACAAATAGAAAAATCATAAGCCATTGGATTAGAACTCCCTCTATAAGTTGTAAAAAACTTATATATACATAGTTGTATAAATATGATCAATGCAGCGAAGAAATGTGTTGAATGAAAAATGTAATTCTTGCATCACTCGTCTCTCTTCTTCCCTCCTTTATTAACCCTCTTTGTTTTGCAATGATGCTACACTAGTTAAGTTTTCACAGTATCAAAGCACCAGTACCAAATAGTGACCTGCCGAACATCCTCACAATTCGCCATGAACCTCTCCACTTCCTCCTCAATAAACAATCCATCCATAGTAGGAGCTTTTCATGATTAGGGCGAGGTTCATATCCTGTCCCAGCTCAAATTCCAAATGATTAATGTTAAAAACATCGTTCATAGCCACACCTCGCAGTTGACATCCAATATCATAGAGATCCTAAGTTCTCAAAATATTCAAAACTGACAGGTTTGAAGGATTTCTTGATGACATTACAACATGCCCTTCAAAATAAGTACTAGATCATGATGGAACAATTAATCACAACCCACACTACAACCTCTGAATGTTCTACTCAGTTATTTTCGATTCTCTTCTCCCTTCCAACCTAAACCTTGACTCATGCTACGCCATTTAGTAAACCATTGACAAACATCTACTATCTACCAATTGCTCATCATTGAACTTAAAATGAATTAACACAATATTACAATGAAAGATCAAACTATGACCTAATATCTCTCAACCATCAAAGCTAAACTGGATGTGATAGTCGCATTCAATAGCACCTTAGATCCTGATTACATTATCTTATAAATATTGAACAGCCTATCATCTACCTACCACTTCTTGAAGAAGGCTATTAGCACCAACTAGGCATGTCAAAATAGGTTTCCGGGTCAAGTTTGAGCCCACCCTGAAACTGACCTGCCTTCAACTATCCCAACCCTAACTCGACCCAATTAACTAAACGGGTCACAAACGCATGCTTGAACTCGACTAGCCTCTAACCCACTTCAACCCAACTGGACCCGATGACCCGGCTAGAGTACGCTTAGCAAGCAAACGTTCGTGCGCAAGGGAAGGCAAGCTTATGCAGGGGCAGGCAAGCGCACGCAAGGGGAGGGTGAGCACACTCAAAGGAGGACGAGCGCAAGGCGACCCATGCCCAGGAGAAGGTCAATTATGGGTTACTTTCGGGTTTTTGGATTGACTCGAACCTAACCCAAAATTACAATCGAGTCATAATATGGAACCCGAACCCAACCTATTTTCCAAACGAGTTTACCCGAACCCAAAATTTTCGGGTCGGGTTAAATATTGACACCCCTAGCACTAACCATCAACCCCTTAATCTATATGACCTTTATTCTCTTCTCTATAGTGAATAGACCAATTTGGCTATGAAAGCTATGCGTGAGATACATATATCCTCAACGCTTGACCCCTGAACACCTCTTGCCACCACTCGTGGTCATGTCCATTCATGTACTCCAACCTCTCAGTTCAGTTTTGGCCGCCATACCCATCGAGGAGGTTACCACTCCAACTACTTTGACCATGGCGGTTTCAGCTTTCAACGAGGCATTAAATGTTGGTACAAAACTGACTTGAGCTACTAACCGCACAATATGAAGTCCCCAACTCTCCTAACCAACTCCTTCCCTACTATAAACTATAATCTCAACTCTGGTGCTACACCAGATCTTACATCTGACTCAAACCAACTGAAGCATCCAAAAGTCTACCACAACATGCAACAAATTGCTCTTGAAAATGGACAAACTCCAATCGCAATCACAAGAGAAGGCATTTTTCCTACAACGTATAAGCTTGTTGCTAATGGCTACAAAGGAAATAATTTGAAGATCAAACACCTACTCCAAGGTCCCGATAATTAAAGTCTGTAACATATTCATCTTTAAACACATCATCACAATTGATATCTACAAATCTCCTCACCACACCCATAGCACTTGATCTTGACATAGGTAGCTTGGATATTCACACCACACAACTTTATCCAACCTAGCAAAAAGCCAACATTCTTTATGTTTTTCCTCCCAAAAATTGCCATGTGACTCTTGTAAACTTGCAAAATGACATTATTTACCTTCTTCATTAGCAAGCAACACTAGATACAAACCATTGCAACTTATCCATTCTTATGTATGGGGGACCCTTTACTCATCCCCTCCGCTAAATATTTTAAATATTATGTTATAGTTGGATTACTCTCACTATCGTTGGGTATATCCTATGGTATGCAAATCAAAAACGATTACAAAATAAATGTAATTTAAAATTATGGTAGAGCATCAATTGAATTCACAACTCATCACTCTTTAATTTTATGATGGAGAATATACCAACAAATCCTTCCAACGTCTACTCAACCACTATGGCATAATACACTAACACAACTATCATTACACTACTGAACAAAAAGATTTGATCGAGCACAAGCATCTTCACATCATTGAAATCACTTTTTTATGCCAACATTCCTTAACATCTATGAGTTGATGCCCTAATCACCTAGGTCTATATCACCAATCGCAAGTCTTATTCCATCAAAAAAAAAATCCAACTATTATCACTTATAAATTTATGGCTGCAAGTGCCATCAACTTCTCCCACCAAACACCAATCACAAACTCATTCCCACAGTAAGACAGTAATTAGTTGCATCTTTCTCAAATATGCTCTTGCCATAAAGGTTAAAGATGTTATAATCCTCTCACAAGCAAAATTACAATTAGAAGATAGTGCCGCTCATAGTTGTCCTCACATCTCATCAATTTCGCACCAACTCCAACACAAACATCATCCACCCAAGCCAGTAAGAAGCTACCATTAACCCCCCTTCCCCCAACAACTAGTACCTCCCACAATACCTGAGAAAAATCTCGCATCCACTACCAACAAACTCCATCCTCATTCAATCATTTTCCTTCAACACAAACCACCCCTTCAAAAATCTACCCTGCGTAGACAATTAACCATTCCACACGCACTAAATACATAAATTCTCATTCAAATCCCGTGACATCCTCAACTTGCACCGCCACATTACTAAAACTACTGAACTGATGTGTTACTCTAGCGCCATCAAGGAAACACATTAGTATTAGACAATGTCTGAAGAATTCCAAGCACAAGAATTATGGACTCTCACGCTATCCTACAAAAAAATGTCAGTGATAGCAAGTGGACTTTTAATACTAAATACAATGCGGTGAGCTCTATTGCTCGGTACAAAGCCCACCTTCTACACAAGGTTACAATCAACAACATGGAATTGACTTCAATGAAGCATTTAGCCATGTTGCAATCGAAAAAATGCCAATGATTTGTGTCTTCCTATTAATTGCTCTCCTCCATCAAAACTACGTGATCACTTAACTCGATTTCTCAAATGCATTTCTTCACATCACACTCAGCAAAATCATACACATGTCCCAGCCGAAAAGGCTTCAAGGATCCCCTAAATCCTCATTTACATATGTTGTCTCACAAAACCATTTACAAAATGAAGCAAGAACCAAAAAAATGGTTTGCCATCTTCTCTGATAATCTTCAACAACTGGTTTTTTATTAAGTTCTTCCTCTCTATCATCATCAGATGACCATCATTTATACCCTAACTTGTTTCAACGACATTCTACTCGCAGGTAATAACACCACTGCAATGGAAAACTTTCTCCGGGATCTAAACAACAAATTCAAATGAGAAATCTTGGTCCCACAAAGCCTTGCAACAGCAGCCACTCCAACCTCTGCCTCTATCCTGCACGTTCATCTCCAACTAATAGAAACATCATGGGCCATTGGATTAGAACTCCCTCTGTACCTTGTAACGTGCGTATAGTTCTTGCCTCTATCCAGAACGTTCATCTCCAACTAGTAGAAACATCATGAGAATTCCCTTTGTACCTTGTAATGAAATGTACGTATAGTTCTTTTTCTTCTTCTTCTTCTTCAAACTTCTCTGTTTTGCAATGCCATTTAACTGAAACTTTCACCTCATACGTAATCAATCCTTTTTTTAATACCATTCACATCCATTTGGGAATCTAGCATAAATATGGCTTTCTTATTTATCCCTATAAACTTTTTATCATCAGAAACAAAAGCAAAGTGATTTTACTATTTCATGCTTTTTCTGAAAAATATGGAAGGGAGGGAAAGAGAGCAAGTGTGTGTACAAGAGAGAGAGAGAGAGAGAGAGAGAGAGAGAGAGAGAGAGAGAGAGAGAGAGAGAGAGAGGGAAGAGGGGATAGAAGCAGAGATTAGGGACCTACACATATTATAAATGGACCAAAGAAAATGTGAAAACAGAATAGGACTTAATAAACATTTCAGGCAAATTGGTCATTTCATTGAGCTTTGGCTGCTTAAGGAAAGAAAAAAACTTGCAATTTCTTCAAAGGATTTGGAAACAATATGCAACTTTCTTTAACAAAAAGGAACTTGTGCATTTCTGTACATATAAGAGGCCTATTTGCAATAAAACCAAAGCATACCATTTTTGCTTATGATGGAGAAAAATAAAGAGGCACGAAGCCAATCATGAAACCTTTGCATCGTAATATCTCGTTTTCCAGTTTCAAAGAGGCACTGGAATAACCATTACTGTATATGTAGGTTCAAGATATAAAGAAAATCATATTCTAGTAAATTATTCACGGATAAGTTAAAGTTTAGATCAAGGAAACTGACCTCCATATGTAAATTTTGATAATAGTTCCGCTTCGGCAGCTCTCTGCATCATTTGTAAACAAATATCGTTATGGAATGCTGATACAGTATACAGTAGTTGCATATAGCACGCATTGAATCTATCACAACAGTCTTGTAGAGAACAAACAACAAGAAAAATTGCAATGAAAGTTAAGAGCTCAGGCCCTATGTTCATGAACAACATCCAGACATTTTCTACATGCCGTTGCCCCTTCCCTTCCTCAAAGAGTCATACAGATACTAAACCTTTCTCCTCTCCTCCTATACACCTCAAAGGACATTTTCAAGATCCTTAAAGACAAATAGCTTTTATTGGTGATCAAATCAGTTCCTAAAATCAGGTAATATACATTATTCAAGAGCACTATTAAGTGCATTGATGCACAACGTCTTAGGGTGTTGAGTTTGTTAATACAAATCTACAATGAGATACATCAAAACGATACACACAAATTCACAGTCGAGGGTGAGGAAGAGGACATAACCACCCTAGTTGATTCACTCCTGGGATGGACTAACACATTGTTTGACAATGTGAATTCTCCTTTTCTATATTTTCTCTTCAGCCAGTCTTTGAAGACGTGGCAATTTTCAATATGATAGCTAATTACTCGGTGATACGGGTAATAATTTGGGTCACCAATGTGATCAGACTCTTCGAGTCTCTGGCATTTTGACAGTTCTAAACCAGCTTTGAGTGTTTGTCGAAATAGTGTGCCGATACTTTCCCTTTTGAATGGATATTCTTTATTCATTTTCTCTCTGAGGGATAGAAACATTTGATCGCCAATTCTCATTATTTGTCTTAGGCGTTCTCCTCCACCAGAAAAAATCTGAGGCTTGTCGTTTCCCTGAGTACCAACTTTGGCAAAAAAAATAGGGTTGGCTAACTGTTTTCCCCTGTCTTCTCTATAGATGGGTTGTTTGCCCTTATCAACATTGTATGCCACCTGCTTTCCTTTATCAGTCTTGCAAGAGAACGTGGAGTGGGCTTCACTTTTTCTAGCTTATGGAGCTTTGCCTTTCTTGAATTTATCTGGGTGGTTTTCTAGTTTTAATAAATTCAGCTTCTCGAACTTCGCCACCCTGTCTAGTAAACCCTGAAATGTGGTGATGGAAGCCATGTATAAAAATGTTAATATCTTTTCATCGATCTTTCCGATTAACAATTGAAAAACATTTTCCTCATCTAACTGCTGCTCACATTTCATACTTAAATTACATTAAATTGTCATGTACTTTGTCACTATCTCGTCGCTTTTTTGTTTCTCCATGGCGAGATCAACTTTAGACATTTTCTCAGTAGTGTTGGAGAATCTCTTCACAAATAAAACTTCTAATTATGCGAATATCTTTACAGAATCGTTTGGCAGTTCAGCGTACCATTTGAAAGTAGTTGAAGTCAAACTACTGACGAACTATCGAAAGAGTAAGGCATCAACACCTCCCGTATTGTCACAGGTGGCTTTAATTTGCATCAGATGCTCCTTGGGGTTACTATTGCCGCTGAAAGTATCGAATTTTGGAACATAATACCACTTTGGATATTGCACTTGGTTATACTCTGTCGGGTATGGGCAACCCTTACATATCAACTTCTACGCCTGATCATTGGCTATAATAGTCTTGATCTTCTCATTGATTATGCCATCTAGTTGTGTAATTGTCACAGGCTCAAAGATACTTGCCACATTATGCAGAGTGAGTTAGCGAATTAAGTTATTGACTTCATTATCGCCTTTAGGTGTATCTCGCACTCCTGAAACTTGAGGCATCTGGAGATTGGCGGATTGGCGGGAGCGATGTTTAAGACATGATTGATAGGCGGGGCTGGCATGGGAACCGCGGCAGCAGTCCTCTGCATCATTTGTATCATCACTGCCATTTGTGCCAACATCTCAGTCATTTTTTCATTTAGCTGAGAGATTTCCTTATATTTTGCCTTCATTTGCCGCTTTATCTGCCTTCATATATTTGCAAACGTGACAGTGTCAGCTGGAATCAGCTACGGGCGTTTGAGGCTATGAGTGTCTGGGCTTGGGTCAATCTGTCGAGATTGAAGGTAGTGGTCGGTCGGAGCTTGCAGTGGTAGGATCAGAGTTTAGAAACGGGAGTAAGGAGTTGCTGCATGCGTGGAAGCAGAAGAGTCAAACCAAGGATCTGACGTTGTTTGATCGAATTGATCGAGTGCAGGAGGATGGCATCGGTGCCATGAATGAGAGAAGCCAGGAGTTGGTTTGCGGCTATAGTAGTGTGAGATAGAGTTGCAAGAAGAAATTTAACTGGGAGGCATATGGGATGTGAGGAAATAGGGAGTTGTAGCTTGTGAGCGAAAGGAAGAAACGTCGAACCAATCTCTCAAGCTTCGCTCTCGTTTTACCAACACATGCACAAGTGCGATCGAGGCAGATTTGCGCACGCGGGATTAGACGACTGCATTCAAAGTCTCTTGCAGGACTACGGGATGGGACACTGCAGCTGACAACGGGATTTGAGCAAGATTTACGCAGGCGGTAGAGGTTTTTTTTTTTGTTAATTTAAATTTTATTAATTATTATTATTATAAACATGATAATAATATGACAGAATTTTGCATGCCTCAATATTTGCACGTCGTCACCTCGTAAATCACGTCGATCTCGTACAATTTTCATTGGATGAAATTATAATGAATTTAAGGTATTGTCAATGTTTCGAATGCAACAGTGAAGTCCGTTTTGCCATCGGATGTCATTTGGGCAACTTTGCACATCGTTTTCGGGTGTTGGTTGTCAATTTCGACTCTGCTCAATTCAACTGCTAAGGGCTCCCTCTTAGATAAACTTGAAACTTTAATCGCAACAGCACAGTCTGTTTGACGATCGGAGGTTGTTTGATTATTTAAGTAATGTGTCGCACTGCTTGACCGTCTCTTACATCATCAATTTCAGCCCTTTTGCTTGCGCTGATTTGGCATGTATGTGGAGGTCAACCTCTTGTTAATAATTTCTATATTATTGTATTTCAAAAATATATTGATGCTTTAACCTTTATGAAGAATGCACAATTATGGTTTCTAATATTGGATGAAGTTGTTAAAGAAATAGGAGAGATATTGATTGTACAAGTTGTTGTAGATAATGCAAGTGTCTACAAAGCTACAGAGATACTATTAATGAAGAAAAGGAAGCACATCTATTGAACTTCATATGCTGTTATTGCATAATTTAATGCTAAAGAGTTTGGAACAATTGCCAAAACACAAATATGATTTGCTAAAGGCAAAAATAGTAATCAAGTTCATTTATAATCACTATTGGGTGCTATGTTTGATGAGGAAGTTCACTGATAAAGAAATTATTCAACCTGTAGTTACTAGATTTGTCAGTGCATATTTGACTTTGCAAAGATTTAAAGAGTTAAAAGAAACCTTTAGAATATATGTTTGCATTTGAAGAATGTGATAGAAGTTATTGGCTAAAAAATTATATGGGAAACAAGCGAAGAAAATTGTTATGAAGATAATTCTTTCTAGCATAATATAAATTATGCTCTAAAGACAACAAAACTTTTAGTTAAGGTGCTAAGAATAGTTGATGATGAGAAAGCCTCAACAATATAATTTATCTATAAAGCTATGAATATGGTTAAAGAGGACAAAAAAATATTTAAGAGGACAAGAAATGCTTATAAAATTTTTTTTATAAATTATAGATGAAAAGTGGACCATTACACCAATATTTATACGCTAGTGCATATACATTAAACCCTCAATTACATTGTGATAAGGACTTCTATATAGATAAAGAGGTAAAAACTAATTTATATGCATGCATGGATAAATTTATTTCTAAAGGAGATTATCTTCACAAATAAAATGATTAGCTTAAAATTTTCAATTTAAAAAATGAAATGTTTGGATTTAGAATAGCTTATGTTATAAATATGCTCTCCCAATAAATTTACATTCATTTATAATTTTAAATTTAAATATTTATGCTTAAGCTTTCTACTTTAATATATGTAAATAATTTATTTTTTATTCATTTTATTAAAAAGATAGTGGACCTAAAAAGACTTAAATAGAAAACATCATAAATAACTTTTTTTAATTATATTTAAATAGGAATTTGACTCTTAATAAGACATAATGAAAAAAAAAGATTCATGTAACCAATCTTACATAATGAGATAAATGATTGATGTTATTGTTGTTGTATAGAATGTTGATGGGAACAATTTGTAGATGATGTTCCTAAACCTAAAACAATTATAATTAAATTCTTAGCCTAACATATTTTGATTTTAAAGCTGAGCATAATTAGAGCACTTTCAATCAAGTTCATATAAAGAGAAACAATCGATTGGCTCTATGATGTATGAATAAGCTAGTTCAAATTATTTTTAACAAAAAATAGAAGAATAAGCACCTCAACTTACATAAGCAAAAAAACTATCGGTGATAAAAAATATTCCAATTTTTTCCTTTTTAAATGTTGCTAAGAACATATCAAATACATTACTCAAGGACACTCTCAAGTACATTGATGCTCAACATTTTAGGATATAGAATTTGTTAATAAAAAAATATAATGATACAACAAATCATGCAAACTCTCAGAAATACACAAATTACAAACTCTTAATTGAACAACTATTCATTTCATGAGATGAGAATTAAAAAAAAAAAATTCTCAACAAAGATGAATATTCAATAGCTTTTAATTAGAAAAAATGTTTAGAAGTCTAAAACCACAAAAATCATGAAATTGTTCAAAAAAAAAAGAATATACATGCAATACAAAAAAGAAACACGGTTCCATCACATCATGGGGTCCCTTGTTTCCACTTCTAAGCATCATGCGATCCCTCTCATCCATGATCACACATATCCTAAGTCTACCTATGCAAAACTCTCTCCCATTCTCTCTTTACTCACTTATCTTCTCCATCGCATATGCACTCTATAGCATTGTCCCCACTCTCACATCAAAAACCTAGCCCTCTCTTGCATGCTCAACTCTGTCGTCTGCTTGCAACACC